ACCTCTTCGTGCTCTCGGGGCGGCCGAGTCAGAACGGGGCGCCCCGGGGCCCTGGCTTGGAGAGGCCCCGGGTGCGAGCGGAGAGCCGCTGGGATTTGGGCCCCCAAGCGTCTCTGCTTCCCCCCAGTTCTGCGCCAAGCCCTTGAATCCGGGCTGGGAGGTCTCACCCTCAGCACAGCCTGTGCTTTGGGGTCCCCTTTCAACTACTGGGGGGGGTCCCAATTCCAAGGCTTACGCAGAGCTGGAAGCTCAGGGTCCAATTTATAGATGAGGGAAGCGAGTCAGGGGAGCTAGTAAGAACTAGGTCCCACGCGAGGAGCGGGGTGAGGGGTGCTGGTGAAAGCGGGATGCCAACCCGTATGGATCCAGGAGGGAGCCCACTAACACCCCGTCCACTTCAGCCCTTGGGACTGACCTGCCAAAGGAGGAGTTAGGCTGCGAGCCTCCAGAGGGCAGGGACCAGATCTTGCTTCTCTGTCCCCAGAGTAGGAACTCAATATTTATTAACATTTGCTGTCCACTGAAAGCAGTCCAATCCCCCATCTTCAACCTAGTTTCTTGACTTCCCTGTGCCACAAGTGACCCTCTTAACACCTTGATGGTCAACCCCTGCCAGTCAGGGTCTGTCCCTCCCCCTCCAATCCTAGCAACCTGTTATCCCTCCCACTCTGGGGACCTCATGCATGAGGGAAGGAGGCATCTCCGGAGGGGAAACACAGTGAAATCTGGCCCTGAAGGCAGTGTGTCTGGGCAGAAAACACGACAGCTAGCTCCTGGATGCTCTGCCTTGACTGTGACTTTCACGGAGTGACCCTGAGGAACTAGACACTAACTGTGAACTCAGGGGGTTAGTACTTCCATTTTACAGACAAGGAAACTGAGCTGCCCAAGGTTACAAAGCTAGTAAGCAAGAGTTGGGATCGAAACCCGTAGCTGTTGGATTCCTAGGTCATGTTCTCTCTGCAGAACTGCCTCCTGCTAGAAGGGAATTTGGTTTCTGGTCCTCACTTCCTTCCCTGTACCTTTCAGTCACCCACAGCCCACAGAGGGACCCACCACCCCAGGCTCCATCCATCAATATCCCTTCTTCAAGGAGAGAAGGTCAGAGCCGCGCCCTCAGCCCAAGGATGAGGATGAGGTCAGAGCATTACCCGGCTGGAGCAGATGCTAAATAATTCATGGGTCTGCTGTGAAGCGGGGGCTGCAGCTTCCGGGAGGGTCTAGAAGGCACACAGCAGACAGGAAACAAAATCTGGTCACTTGCACCTGAGTCTGATCTCTGCAAACCCCATGGGGCTGGAGAAGGTGCCTCGTTTGGTAACAAAGGGTTGGAGGGCATGACCCCAGGCAAGTCACTTCACCTGTTTCTTGCTGCCTCTAGCTCTTATGCGAGGTGTGATCAAGTGCAGGAAACCAGTGTAAACCAGAATAGTGGTTGTGGCCCTTGGCAGGTCCTCAGGGGAGGTACTGATCATCCCCCTGGCCCCGTCTGTCTTCCCACGAGCCCAGGATGTCACTCAATGGTGCGCCTCCAGCACGCCAGGCCGCAGCAGAACTATGATAGGGATTGTCCCCCTCTCTTGCCCCATCCCTACATTCCCAGACCTTGGGGTGACAGGGGGGAGAGGCACAGGCACAAATCTTGGCTGTTTTTGGAGGCTTGGTTTCCTCCCTTAGAATAAATCCCCAACCGAGAAAAAGTTAGTTGGAATCAAACAGCCTTTGTTGGTCTATAAGGGAAGAGACTAGGTTAAAAATATGTATTAAATCCCAGAAAAAATCTCAGTGAACACATGGGGATTCTGTGATAGGAATTCCTCAGTAACAGAGAACAAGGTCCTTTAATTCTGAGCAGTTAGGGTCCAAACTACTCTGCTTTGAGCTGAACCAGCTTGACAGAGTGGGTGTGAAATTTACCAAGGTATTGGTCTGACGTTACCTGCAATAGGTTCTGGCCTCTTCTAGTTTTTTTCCATCCCAGGCTCATTTGTGATGCGGCTGGACCACTTGGGGTAAGGCACCTCTCTCCTAAAAACACACCTGTCTTCTGTCTTCTCCACTTGGCCAAGGCCTGGAGGGAGCAGGGCCACTGGGTGTCCCTGAGCCAGGGTGGCCTGCAGCTTTCAGGAGCCCATCCTTCCCAAACTAACACCCAGATCCCCGAAGAACTCAGATGAACAAACCCACATTCACTGCAGGCTGCTCTTCATGGCCGCCTGGTAAGGCCAAGACTCACATGAGACTATCACTTCAAAAAGCAAGACAGTGCCTTTATTCACTGTAAGGGATCTTGGGGCCACTAACCTAGATCAAGAAAAGTCTGAGGTGCAGAGAGCTCCCTCGTCCCTCCATCAGAGAGAAGTAATACTCTGTTTGTGGAGCTAAGCAACCCAGCACATGATCGGTCAATGGTGGCAATGGGGGGTAGGGGGCTGTCACAGGCAGCTGTCTGGCCCTACTCTCTCTGTGGGGCCTGAGAAATATTCCAGTAACAAAGGCACAGGTTGCTGGGGGCAGGAGGGTGGTGCTGGAGAGCTGTGGGCTGACCACAGGGTGAGGTCGGGCCCTGCTCTTGTTCTCTCCCCCCACCCTGGGCACCCAGAGGTGACTCTGCGCTGAGCACAGAGCTCCAGGGGCATGCCTGGGGAAGCCCCCTTGGGCCAGCCAGCTCTGCCTGGTACCCGGGCGCAGGACAAAACCAGGAGATGATGCTACAGAGATCTCATTCCCGTGAGTCTGGAGCTGTGCACATCTCCGCCCTTGCTACCACCATCATCAGGTCCTAAAGGATGCCCCCCACTTCCCTGGGTGGCCGTCAGGACCCTCTGGAGCATGTCGTGGGAGAGAAGAGTGCCAGCATGTTTGCGGTGCCCGAGGTGAGGCAGAAATCTGTACATCTGCCCAGCAGGACATGGCACGAGTCCCAGTTCTGTGAGGAGCTGAGACCCCAGCCCGTGTGATCCAAGACTCTCAGCTGGCCCCTGAGGATGCAGCCCCAACCCCACCTTGTGTCTTGATGGGCCCCAGTTCATTGCAGGTGGGGAAGGCATGGGGCCATGGCATAAGGGGGCACGTGAGGGAAGCACCAAAGGGGCTAAGATCCAGCACCCACAGGCCACGAAGAGGAGCAGTGTCTGCCCAGGCCTCGGGCCAAGCTCTGTCCCAGCTCAGGGGCCTTCCGCGGTCCAGGTGGTGGCAGGAAGCCCTGATGAGAAAGCCCACTTCCACCAGGGCTTGGCTCCAAACACGTAGGCGCAGGCAGGACAAGCTGATGCTGGACACCAAGACAGCCAGGAAGGCCCGTGGTGTGAAGACAGGGCATCTGAGGATGGCCATCTGGAGAACCACAGCATGGGACACATGGGCTGTGACGAGGGGAAGGGCGTCGAGGGGGGATGGAGGCAGGCTGGGCAGTTCTGTAGATCCTTGTGGCCTCAGTCACGTGGGAGTCAGGAGAGGCAAAGGGAACGGCCCCAGGGCCCCAGCCACGCACCTCAGGGCTTCACAGACCCCCACTCAGTCCTCCGCTTCTGGATGGTGGCCTCTGGTCCCTCCCAGCTCCAATGACAAGGGCGGGAAAGGTGCTGGGCCCTGCCCAGCCCAGACAGAGTTATGAGGACATCAGGGTGGACGTGTGGTTCAGGGAAGAGGGCTTCTACCATCTCGTTTTATTTTGCGGGGACTGAGCCTAAAGTAACCAGAAAGAACAAGAGTCAAAGGGGACCCTACCGCTCAGGGGCCCAAGCTCTGGCTTCTACTAAAAACAGTGTCTGAGTCCCAGCGGGGCTGGTGCAATCTGACATCGAAGGGAAACTCTGGGAGAAGTTTGTTTTTCTTCCGGCAACCTTTCTCTCCCTTCCAACAGAGACTTTTTTTTTTTCTTCCCCCCCTACGACTGGTGTCAGAAAATAGCTTCTGACTCGTTGGGTAGAAACATTCCCAAGCTCGGGAGGGGCGGGCTTGGCAGCCCCTTTGCAAAGCCCAGAGCCAGTGTCCAAGGGTCACGGCACTGCTGCTCATCCAAGCCCAGGCCACTGGCTCGGCCCCAGGGTGGGCCTCGAAGACAGAGCTCAACAAAACCTGACTGGTGGGGCCGCCTCTAGAGGCTGTTGTGGCCTCGGTGGGTCAGTCTGCTTACTTCTGTCAGGGGCCGGGAGAGGGACAGCCCCACCTTTTGCCTCTAAGGCCATGTCCGACCCTAAAATGGCACGATTCTGGGATTCTGACTTGGGAAAGAGGGCAGAATGCTGTGCTGTCCACCTTTCTTGGCAGCCACGAGGTTTAAAAGGAGCTGATGTGGGAAGGCTTTGTTTACCATAAAGGACTGAGCCAGTGGACACGTTAATAACTGTCCAGGAATGAAACCAACCGGAACCAGCTGACCCTTTCCCACCTTTGGAAACCCACTTTGTAAATAAGTGCCAATGTTCTCCGAGCTGTCCGCTTCACCCATGCTCGGCACAGCACCATCTAACAGCACAGGCCGGTGACTCTCCACCGCGTCCCTTGGAGCACTTGAGTGGCCATCCCCCATCCCCTAAGAGGGTCTGAAGTTGGTCCGCCTTCCCTTACACACACCCTCCACAGAGCTGCCCGATGGTGGGCCTGCCCTCCCCACTCTGGCCTCGCGCATGGCTGTGGGCGGGGGGGGGGGGGGGGGGGGGGGGGGGGGATGGGGAGGGGTCCCAGAGGAAAAGCTGCCTGATCTCAGATAAGCCCAGATGCTGGACTAGACCCTGGACAGGCGCTGGGCCCGGAAGTTCATTCTGACCGCCCGCGACACGACACAGTACACAGGCTCAGCTGAAGACTCCTTCCCTGTGGGCAGGTGTCAGCTACTTAATTGCACGGAAGGAAAAATCAGCAGCAACGTTCCTGTGAGCCGGATTCGGAAGGAGAAAGAGGAACCAGCCCCAGCCCACGGAGGAGGAGGCTCATCAGTGACCAAGAGCCTGGGGTCAGAAACGACATTCCCAGAGGAGGGGCTCGTAAAGCAAAAACGTGTTTATTAGGCACTCTTGCTCCTCATAGAGGAGCAAGACCCAGGACAGACGCGCCTGAGAAATCTCTCGAGGTTGCAGGAATCTCTCTTAAGACTCCAGAAAATGTTGGCACTGACCGGCCACCACCCCAAGAAGAACACTATCTGGCTGGAGCACGAAGCTCCACAAACACTGAGGCGCGAGTAGGGGGCCCCTGGGACACCCACACAGACATTGGCAGACAGGGATGGCCTTCCTGGCTCCAAGGCACAGTTGCCCTGAGCCACGGAGGGGGCAGGGGCAGTAGGAGAGCCAGGGGCTCCTCACCCAGGCCATGTCCCAAGGGGGCCTTCCCGAAATCTGCCTGCCTCCTCCTGACCGCCGACTCAATCCCACACGTAGGGGTTTCTAAAGACCTGGGAGTTCTTGCTGTCTCTCGGCGGTGTGGTGGCCCGGTGGCTCTGGGCCGCATACATGTCTTCGGCCCTCAGGGTGGAGTTGGCACTGCCCATCACCTGGCTGTTGGCGGTGGCTCGTGGGAGGATGACGTCGTAAGCTCCTTCAGACTGGAAGGAAGGACAGGAGGTCTCACAGCCAGGTTCCGCCAGGGCGGACGCACAAACACTCTGCTTCCTGCAGGGCTATGCCTGCCAGCAGCCCCCCCAAGCCCCCCCCCAGCAGGGCCTCAGCGGCTGCCTGGAATAGGTAACTCCACCTCTGGAAACGGAGGGGCTGGCCTCTGACCTCGAGCCCCTTCCCTCACCCTGCAGAGCGCCAGGCCTCTAGGCATGAGAAGGGGCCTCTGGTCACCTCGGATGGCCCCAGGGCATCACTATTTTCAGAAGGATCCTCTTCTCCAGCCTCCCCCCTCCTGCTCCCAACTCCTGGGGGAAATCCTGGGGCCCTAGGCAGAGTGAACCACACTGAGTTGCTACTACGTGCCTGTAATGGTCCCAGGCTCCCTTCTCCCCAGACCCTTCCCCGAGCCCTCAAATGGCAATAGGACACCCAGTGGCAATCAGAGCGGCAGGTCTGTGTGGCTGAGGACAGCCGGCAGGCCTTGGGCATGCCCACACTTCTTATCTTGAAGCCTGGGCGGGTTAATCAGATGTGGAGACTTAAAACCCAAATTCTCTGCCTGGAACCTGGCTAGAGCTGCAGTGCCCTACTCCTGTGTGGGGTAGAGATGGCTGTGGGGTGGGGAAGGTCCAAAGGCCCCCATCCCAGCTCCTGGCCTGAAGGCAAGCTGAACTCCTGGCCCCACCTGCCTTCTCCCTAACCCCAGGGCCCCAAGCCACCCACCACCTTCAGTCGAATCAGACCCAGGTGGTCCTCCCACTGGTTTGCAATCCCCAGCTCGCAGGCCCCTGGAAGCTCCTGGAACATCTAGGCGGGTGGGGCTCAAACCTGGGTGTGCCTCAGAATCGCCAGGGCAGTTGGTTCAGCCACAGCCACACCTAGTCAGGCTCTACCCAGTGGTGGCCTGGTCAATGTTTAACTGGGGCGGGGAGGGAGGGAGCCACCATCTGCAGTCTCCACTCATCTCCGTGGGTGGGTACTCCCATCCCAGCAGATTCCAAGGTATCACGATGATGCCCCTGAAGAGATGCTAACCATCAGCCCCTCCCACCCCTGGCCCCACACAACTTGTATTTTCTGCAAGTTCCCTAGTGATGGTAATGCTGGGGTGTCTGGGGACCATGTTTTGAGAATCACCAGGTCAGATAAAATATCCCTGTTCACCCAGATCCTCGGGCCCCTGGGGCAGCAGGACTGGATGTGGCCAGGCAAATGAGGGGTGGCCAGGGTAAGACAGCTGCTGGAGGGAGGACCCTGGGGGCGTTCCACAGTCCGAGTGGCTGGGACCAGCAGACTCTGCTCCTTGCCCCTCCCCTGCGCCTGGCAGCAGGTTCAGCTTAGGGAGAGGGAAGGGGCTAGAGCCCCTTCGTATCTAAATCAGAAGTTTCTGATATTTACTGCACCGTGCCCCGGGGGCTCGTGGCACAGAGGGGGATGGAACAGCACCCGGCTGACCTCCCTGGCTTCCTGTTCCCAGCATCCTGCCAAGGCAGGTCACTGACATCTCCCCACAGTGACTGCCAGCCCAGGGGGAGGAACATATACGGAGTGAGAATCTAACCCACAGTCTTCCTGTTCCCACCCCCCACTGGCTAATGGAGCATCTGGTTTCCAGAACCCAGGGGAGGTATGAGGTTGAGAGCTACAGCCTGCTTGTGGGGGGAGGGGAGCCAAGGCCCTCTTGGGACAGCTGTGGTTGAGGAGTAAATACATACCCAGACCTGCTTTTTGGTCCTCTGTGCCTTTACGGGGGCACCAAAGATTGCCACCTCCCTACCTGGCTGAGACCTTCCTTTGTCCCTCCCTAAGCTCCTTTAGGGTAAAGCTGGACTCTCCCATCAGCTCAAAGAGGACCTGTTCTGCATTCTCTGCAGCCCGGGGCCCCAGTCCTGTGTGATGCCCCATGACACAGGGCGGGTCCCACTGCAGTGCAGCTGAAGGCAGTATAGACATCAACTCCAGGAAAAGAGCATTAGGAGCCGAGGGGCTCCGTTCCCTGAGGCTGATGCACCAGACAGAGAAGCCTGCCTTCTCCCTACCACCTCCGCCCCAGCCTGTACCGGCCACAGGGCCTCTGCACCAGCCGGCTTAGGCTGAGCTCCACGGCCCCCAGTGGGGTCACAGAGACCCGGGGACCCCACTCACCGGGCCTTTGTGCATCAGGGCCATCTCGGTGGGCTGGTACACACTGGTCAGCAGCTGCCCGTTGTACCCACTATATGGTGACACCGGTCTCTTAGCTGTAAAGAAACATAGAGCCGTTTGGAGGCTGGGTTCTCAGGCAGGGCTCCCCAGGGGGCTCGGGCAGGGAAGAGGGGGCTCACCTGCCCTGGGATAGCATCTAACCCAGGGAGGAAGCCTGGCCAGGGGTGGCCCACTTGGGGGGCAGGGTTGCAGGTGTGGGGGCCCCTCCAGAGTCCAGCATGCCTTTGTCAGGAGTCAAGAAGAGCATGATGCTGCCTGCTTTCCGCTCGGCTTTCCTGCAGTGCAAGGACCCCTCCCCCACCTTTAGCCAAGAAAAATGCTCCTGTCAGCAACCTTCATATCCCCATCCGCCCTCCGGGGCCAGAGGCCAAGAGGTGCACATGGGCCTTCGGCGGCCTTCCAAGACAGCCAGGCTCCGGCTCCGGCCTCTACCACTGCAGGCCACAGCTGCAAGGTGCTAGGGTAAGCAGAGCAAAGACCCCACAGCCTGAGACTCCCAGTTGTCCCGGGGCACAGCTGATCCTCCAGGACCCCACAACCCAGAGCCCCACCAGGAGGACTGAATGTACATTCATCCTGTCCTGTGGCACCCTGGCAAGATTCCAGTACTGTTTTCAGCTCCAAGAATACCTCCCCATGCCTTCAGGTGTGTTGGTGTCCCGATCTGTTCTACCCTGCTGGGGTTCCCAGGGTGTCCGAGGAAAGCTGACGACCAACCCCTGGGGCCCGAGGGCAGGCTGTGCCGTGAGGGCAGGTGGAAGGATGTCTGTCTCCTGCAGGCTGCTGGCCTGCAGCTCCGAGGGACCACAACTATACAGGGCTGGCTTCCTAAGTGCTGGGCCCACTCGATTGATTTTTCCATTTAGAAAAAAAAAAGGGAAAGGAAAAAAAACCCTCACAGCCCCAGGAATGTTTGCCTTGCGAGGACAAAGGATGAGTAGTACTATGTGGGCCTCATGGCCAGACACAGGCGGGAGCAGACGTGGGTGCACAAGCCCCACCCCCACTCAACTGGTCCCACTCTGTTATGTGGACCAGGGGCCACCCCCGTGGGCAGGTCACAGATCAGGTGCCAGACAGGACAAAGGTCACTCCTTTCCCCAAAACAGAGATGATGGGGGGGTTCCCAGTTTGTAGAGAAGAGGCAGGGAGTTCTGCTTCTGGAACTTCCCATCTCTGACTCAGCCCTCTGGCAGGGACCCCAGAGCTGGTGACCGACAGTCAAGCAGTTGAAGTCTTAAGCCCCCAAACATCCTGCTCAGCCCAGTCCGCGGTTGGGGTCAGGGGTCTGTCCTGGTCCTTCTGCTCTCCAGTTCCCAGTCACATCAGATAAAGGGGCTGTAGGCAGCTGACTAAGGACAGTACGCCACAGGACACGTCAGGAAATGCATGCACACTGAGCACATCGTAGGTGCTCAATGAATGCTAGAGGTCCTTACAGTTAACAAATGCCAGAGAAATACTCTTCCCTTTGGAAGCCAGGAGCTCAACTGGCCAAGTGTCCCAGAGAAGCATCTCCCCTCACCCCATCCCCCAGCCCACCTGCTTCTCAAGCTGCTTCCAAGGGGGAGGAGGGGGGCTGGGCACAGGCTGCAGAAGCTTCACCCATTCTTGCCTCTTCCAATTCCAGACACCCTCAGCCTGACCCCTCCGAGGCTGTACGGCTGGCCGGTGCCCCTAGTGCTGGGCTCCAACAGGAAAGCCCCATCCCATTAACAATGAGCCGGGACAGGAGCCTGGGGACAAGCCAGCTGGAGAGTGGGTGCTGCAGAGATCAGGATGTGGCACAGTGCTTTTATTAAAAAGAACAAAATCAGGACACCTGGGTGGCTCAGTTGGTTAAGCATCCAACTAACTTTTGATTTGGGCTCAGGTCATGATCTCAGGGTCGTGAGATGGAGCCCTGTGTGGGGCTCTGCACTCAGCAGGGAGGTCTGCTTCTCTCTCTCTCCCTCTCTTTCTGCCCCTCCCCTAGCTTGCGCACGTGCTCTGGCGCACTCTCTCTAAAATACATAAATAAATCTTAAAAAAAAAAAAAAAAGAACAAAATCTTAACTGAGAAGACTTTTAAAGGAAACTAAGACTATGAATATGTACACAATGGAAAAACAAGTCCGGGAAGGGTGGTTGTAATCACAGTAAAAGGAGAGGAATACCCACAGCTAACAGCTAATACTTGTAATTTCTAAGTGCTGGGCACGTGCATTAACTTAATCTTCACAAAAACCCTATTTAACAGGAACCATTATCATCCCCATTTTACAGATGAGGAAACAGAGGCATGTGGAGGTAAAATACCAGTCAGAGGTGGCCCAGAATAGGAAAGAACAGGGTAGAACTGGGAGGAGCCAGCTGGGGGGAACTTTATCTGTGGTCTTTGAAATTTTACAATGAAAATATATTCATGAACTACAGGAGTACTAGAAACAAAACAAAACAAAAACTTAAAAATGGAATTTAAGGGCTTGAAGGCAGAACACTAGTGATCATTCGAGAACCTTCCATCTCCCTCAGGAGACCAGCACCCCCACCCCCATCCTGCCGTCCAGGATGCAGAATGACAGACGGGGGACACGGGGAGGGTATCCCTCCGCCTACCTGAGGCTGGCTCGTCCATGGAAAACGCCTTGTTCTCCACAAACATGCTCTGGCCCTTCTGCTCTTTCAGGATGGTCTCGTAGCCAACGCCGCGGGTGGGGTACATGTCCCCCTGGTAGCTCTGCTCTGGGCTGGCCTTGGTCACCTGGGAGACCTCCGGGATGACGTAGAAGAGGACAAAGGCCCAGGCGTTGGCGGCGAGGGCGATGGCCAGCGTGGGGTCATCCCAGGTGGGGCTGTTGTGCTGTTTGTTGCCGTACGTGTACATGACAATCCACACCACCCATATGGCAATGGAGGTGGCCGTGGTGAGCAGCACAAAGACCCCGTGCTTCCGCCAGCGCTTGAAGCGGCCACACAGGGCAGGCCAGGCCCCCGTGAAGGCACACAGCAGCAGAAGCATGACGTAGATGAGCGCCATGACGAAGTCCATGTTGGCAATGGCGCAGGGGGAGGCCGTGGCCCAGGCGGCACTGTCATTGCCCAGAGGGCCACCCTCGCCGCCGCCACGGACCAGCGTGATGATCAGCCACTCGGTGTTGATGATCACCTCCACGAGGGTCAGCAGCAGCGCCACTGTGAAGATCAGCCAGCCCCGTGGCCCATGGTTCTTCCGCGCCAGAAAGTTGAGGGCAAAGACATGCGCCACCAGGCAGGAGAAGCAGATGGCGAACAGGACTCCAAAGAGGAAGCGCCGAGAGGCACAGGTGGAGAAGTCAGGCTTCACCACGCAGGCAAAGACAAGGCAGAAGAGGCCCAGGGTCCCCAGCAGGAAGAAGACCTGGGTCCCCAGGAGGCTCCGCTTCTTGGTGTCCTGCACAAAGGGGAGGCTGGCCACAAGGATGATGGTGAGGACAAAAGCAGTGACAACTCCCGCCCCAGCCACTGCCTCCAAAATGATGCCCCAGGCCCCGGAACGGTCACACAGGTTGTAGTACAGGGGGTTGAGGTCCGGGCTGCAGCCAGGTGGCACGTGGTTCTGGGCCTGGGCGCCTGCGATTAGGAAGACAGGCAGCCCCAGGCACGTCAGCAAGGCTTTGGGGATGGCCATGCTGGCTCCCAGGCCAGGCTCCGGCTGGGTCCCTAGAGACAGAGAGGGAAAAGGCAAAATCAGTCCTTCAAGGCCAGACTCTGACACCCAAGTCGCTTGCTTGCCCCTGTCCTGAACCGGGGCAGACAGTGCGAGCTGATCACGAGACTGTCCCCACGGGCTTCGGATTCCTTCTTGACACAGCACTCCTGGGAGGCATATCAACTGACCAGAGAGGCAAACGCGATGAAGCCCATTTGTCATCTCTGGTCCTACTCACAGAAAAGGAGGAATCTGTCACTGAATTTTCAGGTTTCCCCCTCCCCTATCATAACCAGCATCTGAACCTTCCCTGAGCTCTTGAGGTTTGGGTTGAGGGTGATAGGGTTTGAGAGCAAGTCAAAACCAAGCCACTCCGCACTTTCTCCCTGCCCTGACACTCTCAGAGTTCAAGAAGCCTTGACACTGTGCCCTTCAACTCTGCCCCTGTGATGCCCACATCCATGGCCAACCTGCCATGCACTCATTCACACAGCAGGTACTTCACGAGCACCCAAAAGGCATGACCTGCAGCCACAGCAAACGAAGAGACAGTTCTCTGGGATTCCTCCCTACCACCTCCCTTTTCTGCCCTTCATTTGCCCACTTTTCACACCAGCTCTCCTCTTCAGAATCCAAACTTCTTTGTCTAGCTCGGTTGCTGGAGTGAAGGATAAAATAATTTCTCAGCTAGGGAGTTAATGACTTCATGCAAAAATCCTCCTATGAGGCATTAACATTTTTAAAAGCAAGAATGGGGAAGGGCAATACAACACCCAGAGGAACTCATCTTTCACGGAAGACGTTAAGGCACTGTAGCTAGAAGGCAAAAAAGGGATCTTTCGTTCACACCAGGAAGGTACCCTATTACTCTACGTACTCCTCATTTGACCAGCCCCGATGACGGCGGCTCTACCAAGGCCTGTAGATGAGCAGCAAAGAAAACGGAACCCCTGCTCTCAACACCAGCTGGACTATCCTTGTGTGGTGTGGAGATAAAGAAGGTGGCAGGTTAAGAGAAATTTAAATATCCAATCAATGAAAGACTTTAAATTTACTTGGAGAACAGAAAATCTCAATGTTCTAAACAGCCAAGTTCAAAAATACTGCAGAATAAAGATACGCACATTAAATTACCCCTTACACTTCAAGTAACTAGTTACAACCCTGCTTCTTCTTCTCTCACTTCTTGGGTCCCCGGAACTCTCCGGAAAGATGGCAACCAAGCTTTCCAGGATGATCGTGACCACTAGTGGCTCTCAGGGGAATGGCATGTTCCAACTCTTCCCACCTCTTTTCTTCCTCCCTTGGGGGTAGCGATGCATAGTCTACCCCCTTAAGTTTTCACCATTCCTAGTTACCTAATTTCTAACAGGTGAACAAAAGTACTAAATCTCAGTCAATAGAAACTGTCTCTCTGTAATTGATAAGCGGAAGAGTACGTGCTATTGGATCAAGGAAAATAAAACCCATAAATTAAGTGAAACCGACATAATAAAGATCGTCAATTTTCAAAGTCCTTTAACATATCCTACAGACCCAAGGTGCCCCTTGAAAATACTGCAGGTATCTCGACCTTCTCAGCTACTTCATTTTTTTTTAATTTTTTTAAGATTTTATTTATTTGACAGCACAAGCAGGCAGAGTTGTGGGCAGAGGGAGAGGGAGAAGCAGGCCCCCCCGGGGAGCAGAGAGCCTGATGTGGGGCTCAATCCCAGGACCCTGGGATCATAACCTGAGCCGAAGGCAGAGGCCTAACCCACTGAGTCATCCAGGTGCCGTCAGGTACTTCATTTTTCAGTTAAGCTTGCTTTTCCTCCAAATACTACCTATCATTAACTCTTAATAAGCTAACATCTTGGGCGCCTGGGTGGCTCAGTCGTTAAGCGTCTGCCTTCGGCTCAGGTCATGATCCCAGGGTCCTGGGACTGAGTCCCACATCGGGCTCCCTGCTCGGCGGGAAGCCTGCTTCTCCCTCTCCCACTCTCCCTGCTTGTGTTCCCTCTCTCTGTTAAAAAAATAAATAAATAAAATCTTAATAAGCTAACATCTTTGTTGTTTTCCTAAATAACTGCAGGGTCAGAACTCAGTTTCTCTTGACTTCTAATGCAAAAGCACGTTTCCCCTGCATCGAGATTTAAATAAGCTTTCGTAGGGGACTTTGTGCAATCGTAAATCAATAAAGCATAAACTGTATTTACAAGTGCTGGAAAGAAAAAAGAAGGGTGGAGGATTGATGGGTAAGGAGAAACAATGAACCACTCCAGGGAAGAGGTAATTTGCAAATTACACGGTATGGGTTCCTAAGCCTTCAACCCCATCTTGGGTGTTTGGGGCTCACAGCAAAGCAGCCAGAACTCATGGTAAAGTTGGAGATGTGGAAGTGAGCCCTGAGAAAGGCCACCCTGAGTTAGCCCCCAGGTATCAGATTAGATACAGGCAATTATTCCCAATCAGAAAATATTTACTGTGCATTTTGGCGGCGGGGGTGGGGGGGTGGGGGGGGTGGGGACGACAAAGCCAGTCGTTCTCAGAGCTCTGGGAAATACAAAGATGAACAAATACAGTCCCTGACTTGACGGTTTGTTTTTTGTTTTTGTTTTTCTCCCTGACTTGATGGTTTTTAAAATCCAGTACGAGAGAGAAGGTAGGTCTGTGGGAAAATGGTAAGTGCCACACAACAGAATTTGCCTCTGGGGGAGGGAAAGGTGCTCCAAGAACACAGAGGAGGAAGCTCTTCCCACTGAGGGGTCAGAAAAGACAGAACGGAGAAGACCTTTCAACAGCATTTTATTCAGTATTTTATCACCTTCAAGTATGAACTGAGTTTGTAAGGGGAGACACAGACTAGAAATGCTACAGGGAAGGAGGTTGGGGTATCATTCTAAAGGCAATGGGGAGTCACTGAAAGCTGTGTTTTGCACAAACACGGCATAACTAGGGTTGTGCTTTCAGATCTGAATCTGGCCAAAAGCACAGGCAATCGACTTACTGAGGACACATTCACCCGTTTAAAGATCGAGGCCAAAGGTAAAGCCATAATGGCCAGATCTGAGACATCCTTTCCCAAATAAAATCTAAGGACTGACTGGATGTAGGGGGAAAGGATATCAAAGCCCACACTACAAGTTTAAATCTGGTAACAGCCATGTCATGGCAAAAACAAAACAAAACCAAGCCAGGTCCCATTTAGCTCCACAACCTTTCTGGTCACTTACTCTTCTTGAGCCATCTTGCTCTTAGAAGTACACGCCTTTTTAAACTTTTTTTTTTTTTAAATATTTTATTTATTTATTTGAGAGAGAGAATGAGATAGAGAAAGCATGAGAGGGGGTAGGGTCAGAGGGAGAAGCAGACTCCCTGCTGAGCAGGGAGCCCGATGCGGGGCTCAATCCCAGGAGTCTGGGATCATGACCTGAGCCGAAGGCAGTCGCTTAACCAACTGAGCCACCCAGGTGCCCCAGAAGTACACGCCTTTACCCTGCCAGCATCCAGCAACCTCGCAGCTCTCTGGCCGCCCCACCAATGTGGGGAGAACTCCCAAGAAGGAAAGAGGAACCTACCTGTTCTTGCTGTTGCTCCTCCCTGCCCAGGTACCTGGCTGCTGGGCGGCTCTGAAACTTACCAGCCCCAGATGAAACAAACCATTCCCACCGGACACAATCCATTTCTCTGTTCCCCGGAAAAATGCCAGGGTGAGTATGGAGACAGGAATACACCTACTCAGTCCTAGGGCAGTGATCCGTGGAGGCCAGCAGATTTAAAGGAAGCTCAGCAGAGTTCTGCATTTGTCCTTTGACCTCCCCGAGTGCAGATTCGGCCAGGCAACCCATGCCACTTTTTACATGGCGGAGAAGGGGAAGAGCACTGCAAAGAGAGGGACCCAGCTCTGCCTAAGAGGCTCTCCCTCCCGCGGGTCCCTAAAGCCTGCACTTCCTGGCTGTCTTCTGAGCCTTGATGGCTCTTCTGTGCATGAGTCTCCCCTACCAGGCTGGAAGGTGCGTGAGGGTAGTGAACAAGACGTCTTATTAACTTAGCATCCCTGCAAACACCTTGTGCTGTGCCTTGAACAGAGTAGACATTAGAGCATGCATTTAAAAAAGCCTTCGCTGAACAGACTCAGTGCCCCCTTCTCCCCTGCCTTCTTCAGTGTGGAGTCACATCTTCTGTTTCAGGGTTCTCAGTGGGACCAAGGAGGGGAGTGGGAGGGGGACCACCTCCCGCCCCATGAATTTCTCCAACACCAACACTGCAGCACAGCCCAGTCTCGGATTATTTCCTGGACAAAGGGGCCCTTTTGCTTCACCTCCCTGGAATCAGTCATACAGATATTTTTAATCACCTCTGAAATCGGCCTCTCCCCAGCTCAGCCACTCAGCACCCCAGCTCTGGTCTGAGTCAGCCCAATCCAGTTCCAGAATCCCCTTCCTCCCAGTTTCCCTCTCCAGGAGGAGCAGAGAGGCCTCAGCAGTGGGGTGGGTTCAGAGGCGAGCTGGCCCTGACTGGCTTGATCAGAGGCGGTCAGGCCCTCTCATCTTTCCAGAACAACCCCCTCCTAACCTCCCACCATTCACACCAGAACCCAAGAACCCCGAGGGCATAGGAGACCACCCTGAAGAGGACACCATGGGCTTCACAGTGCCGCCCTGGTCTGCATCTCCCAGGCTCAAGGACAGAGTAAGATAGAGACACACAGCCTGTGGTTACATATAAGGGTGCCATGACCCCTGACAGCCCCCTCTCAAAGGCACCTAGGCTCACCCAGGGATATACCACAGAGCATCCTCATTCCTCGGCTGCCAGCACTCAGCAGCCTATCAGGAGAGATGGATGGACCCACCAACAGCCCTCCCACCTCCTCCCCTTCTCCCCCATCCCACCCCCCTTTCTGGAGTCCTGTACTTATGCCTTATCATTTTACTCCTGTCCAGGGGCTCTGGCGACTAAACCCACCAATAAGAGGGATCAGAGATCAGGTTGGGAAGGGAGCGGCTTCCGGGAACCTCAGCCTAGACCTCCGCATTAAGTGGACATTTGGGCCAAAATTTCCTGAGCATTCTGAAACGTGGAAGTCTTCAATCCAAGGGTCTGCTCTGGAATGCCACTCTGGAATGCGCCCCACACCCCACCCCCCCACACACACACGTAATAAGACACAAGGTGGGGACCACCAAGTGCAAAAAACCCTATTTTGACACATTCTGGTTCCTGTGCTTTAGGATCAAGATCATGGAGCTTTTCAATGATTGGCTTTTCCAGGGTGTAAAACTGCGGGCTTCAGGATGGAGGGGCGCTACCCAACCCCTGCGGCTGCATAGGGCCCTGGAAAAGCCCTGGGGGGTAGGAGGGATCTAGAAGCCAAGCTGCCAGATGTAGCGGCTCTTTTATGGTCTGAATCCAAACTTCCTACAGGAAGATTCTGAGAATTTCCCTCCTCACCCCTGGGGTCTACACCGGCGCTCCCCAGGCCTTGGATGCAGAATGAGTAGGGACCCCAGCCTGTCTCCCGCATTCCCCCTGGCCACAGAAACCTGCTCTCCCCATCCTCGGGCACCGGAGAGGAGGCTGGCCCACCAGTCGCTGCTAACCGTGGACTCACGCAGAGAGGCAGCGGGAGTGGAGGGGGCACCGACTGTGGAGTTCGGGACAGCGCCGGGCTTCCCCCACCCCCGGTCCCCAGCTTGCGCGGGTTTGTAAAGTTTCTGCGACCGAGCAGAGTTGGCGCGGCGTCCTCCGCGCTCCCCCTCCCCCGGTCCTCCACACTCGGGCTTCTGCCCTCGCCCACGGCCCGCCGGCCCGACCCGGCTCTTCCGGGCGGCGGAGGGGAGGGCGGAGCGGGAAGGCAGCAGCCCTTACCTGGGACGCGCCGCCCGCCCCACTCGGCGCGGCGTTTGGGGCCACCTCCAGCTCCAAGCGGAGCGCGGGCGGGGTGAGAGGGGCTCGGCGGAGGGCGCGGAGCCAGGCGAAGCCCGGGCCTGGGATGGCGGGGCCCGGGCGGGGGCTCGGGGCGCAGGGCCTGCCTCTCCCGGGAGCCTGGGCTGGGCTGGCCGCGCTCGGTCCCTCCTTCTGGCGCTGGCCTCTCCCCGCACTCGGCTCCTTTCTCCGGGCGAGGGTGGGCCGGCGCCTGCATCACCGTGACATCACCTCCATTCAGGAGCTGATCGGGCGGCCGCAGCGCACCAGGTATGTGCAATCCGTTTGCACAGCAACAAAGCCCGCCAGGCCCTCCCCCCAGCCGACTCACCTCCAGGCTCCGGCTAGGCGCACTTTCCGGTCGCGGAGGGAGCTCGGAGTTTCTGGCGGAGCTGGCCAGAGTGTTGTTGCTGTTTACTGCCACGCCCCCGCACGCGGGCGCGCGCACTCACGCGCACTCACGCGCACTCACTTTCACGATTCGGCTTTCCCTCCGGAGAGCGGTTTGGGGGCAACCTCTCCTGCCCCGCATGTCCCAGCGCACACACACGAACACGCGCGGGGGCCACCTTGGTGCGTCTCACCGAGCCTTCGTCACCTTCGTCCTGGCTCTCCCGTGAGGGACACACGCCGGGCACAGTTCGCTGCTCTGGGCTAGAGCGAGGCGCACACTCAAGACACAAAGTCCGTCTTTGTCACGCCTTCTGCGCCCCCTCCCCTCCCCGAGCTTGCACACGTGGACACACCACACGCCGACTGTCCGCCTCTAACACGCGCGGCCTTTCCCCAGCACCTGGGTCACCAAACATGCATGGGGGGGGGGACACCGCGAGCGCCCCTACCGCCGTGGGCCGGGCCCGGAACCCCTCGGAACCGTGAGCAAACGTCGCCCTGGGCCGGACTCCCCTGCGCCTGGATTTCCTGCGACCGCCTCAGACACGGTCCGACTCTGAGCGCGCGCTCCCCTCCCCGCGTCCCCGTTCCCTGTTCCGACTTGTCCTAATTAGCCTTCACGGTCATGTTCCCCGGGGTACAGTGTTTAACCCGGCCCCCGCGGTCCCTGCGCTCAGGGACGCAACGGCCCTGACTCCGAGTCCAGCCCTCCTGCCGCCCGCGGACTTTTCCACGAGTTCGGGTACCCTCCGCCCCACTCCGCGTCCCACCCCCACTCCCTGCCCCGGGGTGGATCAGCCGGTTGCCACCCTTTCCCCTCCGGCCCCAGGAATCAGCAGAAAGGGAACCACAGAACTGGGATAGTGAATCCAGTCTGGGACGTCCCCGGCCCAGTAAACAACAGATTTTTTCCGGCCGCCTTCCCCTGGGGCTGGCGGGCTCCGCGGGAGGTGGGCTGAGCGGTCCGGGGGCTCCCAGCGGGGCCTAGTTGGCCTGCACGGGAGGCCGGGAGGGGCCGCGGCGCACCGGGAAGGGAGAGGTTGTTGGGCCTGGCCGGGGCCCAGGGGACGCGGAGGGAGGGCAGGGCGCCGGGTCTCCGGGGTGCTGGTTCTCGTGACGCCGAGTTGCCTGGGGGATCGCCAGCAGCGCGCGGTCGGAGCCAGCCGGCGGCGGGGCGGGCGGGGGGGCGTGTTTGCACAGCCCGGAGCGCGCGGGAGGCGGGGGAGGCGGCTGGTCCCGGGCTCGTGGGTGGCAAGGTTGGGGGGAGGGCGCGGGGAAAGGGGAGGGGTACCTCCGGGGCTGTTTGTGTGCCTCAATCTACGACAGGCAGAAGTCAAACTCAATGAATCACCAGGAGCTGCTGGAGCGATAAACCTCAGGCCTGCCCCTCCCCTCGCGCACCGGCTTTTCGCAGTCCAGGAGGGAATGTTTGCTTAGCGGCCGGGGCCGGCGGTGGGGCCCTGCGTTTTCTAGAACCTGCCTCCCTCCCTGTGCCTTGCCCTCGCTTGCAAGTCTGGGAAGTGCGGTGATCACTGAATTGTTTCTGTTCTTTTTAAATATTAAGATTAAGAGCGCGTTTCTGGTGCAAAGTTGTGCGTTACTCTCGGTCTCCCTCCCCTAACTCCACCCCGGTCCCACGTCTCCCGGACCCTCCTGTGAGGGTGTGCAGGCAGGTGCCCGCGCTGGGAAGGCAAGCCCTAAGTGAGCGGGTAAGTCCCTCTGGCCTCTGACTGTAGCTTTCATTAACAAGGCAGGTATTGTCCATATCAGTTTGCTGGGAGGGTTGCTCCTTAGCATATGTGAAAAGCCAATTCTGAGAGCTGGGGATGGGTGTAGGGGAAGTGGGCTGGGGGCAGATGAGTTGTGGATCCAACCCATCTTCTCAGTTTGCTCTCAAGCTTCTGGAACTCCTTTAGGTACAGGGGACTCTCCCAAGAGGCAAGTTTTCCCCCATCAGTTCCTGCCCAGGCAGGGGTAAGGTTGGGGTATGGGGTGCCTGGCCACCCACTGGGAGTGGGCCAAGAGGCCTGCCAGCCCTGAGCAGTAGGCACCACTGGAAATGTAGGACAGCTTTCTGAGAAAGGTTTGCTGGGTCCCTTTTCACCCCGTCTCATTCTGGAACAGGATCTGCCTTCAAAACAGAGCAAGGCCCTCGGGGCAGATGACCCAGCCCTTTGAGCCTCCAGGATCCCTGGTGCCCTCTGCTTTAGTCCCTGGGGCAGGGCCTGGCTGGCTGTGGGGTGGTGGGACTGGAGGTCCAGATCTTGAGAGCGCCACCCCACTCCAGCCCCCCTGAGTCCCACTGTGAGGGTGGGGGGTGCTTCTGGACACCAGCAGCCTTCCTTGGTTAGAAGGGATGTTATGTGAGAGGTGTGTTGTTTTCCAAAACTCCGGGTACAGGGTTGTCTGTGTCCCCAAATGCCATTCACCCAGTTTAATGACCCGTAGGCATATAAGCCTTTATGAACTCCCGTTTTAACCAGAAAATAACAGCTTGTGAAGTCAGCCCCTATGGATACTGCCCACCCCACTGTGCAGAGAGCTCCTGGATTAATGGGTTGTCGGGGAGTGTCTGGCTCCCTCCCTCCCCTTATATTTGGTGCTTGAGTTCCTTTTGGGCCATGGAAACTCCTTTCATCCATCCCAGCCTTCCTTCTCTGAGCTGCTAGAGGCTTAGGGACTGACAAGGCCCCAGGGTCAGAAGCAGCTCTGTCACCTGCCATCTGTGATCTGGATGGGTCACTGCATCACCCTGGGCCCTTCTTTCCTCTCCTGTACAATGGGCACGATAACCCCACCTTTCCATCTTGCTGTAACATCCAGATGACTCCGAGTCTAGAATGTTCCTCACACAAGCCAACCCCTCACAGGTGCCCCAGGTGCCCAGCAGTCAGCCTCTCCTTTCCTGGTGCATCCCCTCTAATTTTAGTCCTGTCAAGTTAAAGTCCTGTCTTCTCTGACCTTTCAATTCTGTTTTACGGTTATCGGAATAGCCTTATCATGCCATGCTCTGGGCCTTCGCCTCTGCTGTTTCTTTTTCCTCCAACATCCTCTCCCTCCCATCCCCCCCTTCTCTGACCAAAATTCTTGCAAAATCAGCTCTGCCTCACAGCTCAGCCCCAGTGTCCCTCTGTGAAGTTTTCCTCACCTTCCCCAGAAAGAACCGTGGGAGTTGCTTTACCTACAGCTTTTGATGCATTTGTTTATTTATCATTAGCCCAGTGTATCTTCATCAGGCCTGTCAATTGTTGTCTCCACAATTAGACTGTGCCCTTCTCAAGAGGGGGACATGTTCCAAACATCTTGTGGTCCCTGGCATCTGGCACAGAGCCGGTCACATGGGGGTAGCTCCATTGTCTTAAGGTCAGGACCGTAGTGGTAAGAGTGGGGATCCAGCCCGTGGAGAGTAGTCTGCCGCCGACCTTCCCCTCAAACCACGGGCCTCGAGCAAGCCGTATGCACCTGCCCTGCCCATGGCACGAGGCCTTCCTGGGAAGCAGGCAAGCCCCATTGCCTTTTGGAGAAGTCCACTGCCCCTGAGCCAACAATGCCCTCCATTCAGAGTCCAGGTAGAGGAACTTGACCACCTGGCTTGGGGCACAAGGGGTGAGGAGGCTAGAGGTCAGTTTTGCTCCGTAGAGGGACTTCCTCTTGCATGGGGAGCAGGAGTCCACATTGCAGCTTCAGCTGGTGGAATCGCTCTCAGGAGCCATTTCCTTCTCCGCGGAGGGGGAGGGCTGCCCCCTCACCCCCACCAGGGTTGAGTGCCCTTGGTCTTGTGGCCTGGCCCCAGTGAAGCGAGAACAGTCCCTCCCTGAGCTGAGGGTGGAGGCTCTTGGCTCCCTGACAGGTAGGTGCCTGGAATCCTGTACCAGGCGGCTGGGTGCCCCACAACTGGCTGGTAAACAGACTGTGCATTTGACTTCTCCTTGCTCCCAGGCTCCATATTAACTGGTTACTGCCCAGCCTATGGTGTATGGCTAAGTCTCCTTTTCTCTTAGGTTTATAGGACTGACGCTTGCACTAGTCGGTACCCGCGTTTTTTTTTTTTAAGGACCCAGGTCCCAAGGTGGCACCTTAAGAAACAGGAAGCCAGGGGTCTGGGAGCGGGCAAGTTAAACACTAATTCCCCACAACTGGTTACCCATGGATGATCCCTCTAGAAATGTACCCGGAAGTGGGCCTTGGGCAGAGCCTGCTGGAATGTCACCTGCTGCCAAGCCCATCCTCAGTGGCCACAAATCTGCTTCTCCTTATCCCGCCTCCCTCTCCATGGCTCAGTGGCCACTGACCACCTCCCTGTGGAGGAGAGAACTGGATTTTCTGAGCTGCCCAGGTCTGGAGAGTGTCTGTCCATCAACACACAGTGGATCTAGGAAGCAGGGTCAAAGCAGAGGGTCCAAGGAGTCAGGCCCCTCCCCCCATGAGCCCCTTCCAAAAATGAAAAAGAAATGTGCACACAGTGCTGCATCTAGTTCCCCCTTACCTCCGGGGGAGGGAGGGTCTCACGCCCATCTGAGAACATTTCAGGGATGGGGTACCCTTTACCTCACTCCAGCGGCTACCTGGCCCCAAGCTGATTACCTCGCTTATAGTCTTCCACTCCTCAACACCTCCAGTCACCCTGCAAACCGCTGTCCATCGGGGGACATTCCCTGACTTCACCCCCTCGCTCTGCTGACAACTTGGCCGGCTCCCACTGCCTTGAAGTGAAAGACTAGGCTTGTTTGCTCAGCATTCAAGACCTCTGCAATCTGCACTCAACCCTGGGCGCCAGCCTCAACCCCTCTTCTTCCCCACTCCAGCCTGAGAGGTCAGCTCCCAGTCTGGCCACTGGACTTGCCTTCCTGTGGCTTTACTCACACCCCCCGCCCAAGTCTCAGTCCGGAAAGCCCCCTCTGGATCTCTCTGCTCCAGTTCCCTTTTAAAGTCCTGTGCTCCTCCCAGAATTTTTGGCTGGTGACCCCACCCCATAGTCCTCCTCCCACTCTCTCCTAGAGCTCCCCTTCTAAGGGGAATTTGCTAGCCTAGTACTACTCTGCATCATTAATTGTATCTTATGCATAAATATCTTGCCTCTCTAATTGCTGATATGCTTGGTGGGGATTGGATTCAGATTTCATGTCTGTCCTTCCTTGCAGCCCCTAGGATAGTGCTTTCTACACACAATAAAAAAAGGCAATAAATATCAGCAGAATAGTGGACGGACCTGCTGGGAGCTGAGCGAGGCTGCCTTCTTGAAGGGGAAGGGCAGGCTCAGGGTCTAGCCTTGGCCTTGCGGTGGTCATGAACCCCCTACTCAGATCCCTGGCTCCCTCTGGCTCCCAGAATTCCAGGCCAGGAAGTTCAGAGAAATGCTAGCTGGTCTGATAATGCAATCCTCATCACAGCTTGCCTCTGTGTAGCGCTGTACGATTTTCAAGTGTCTTTTATATATATTCGATCCTTATAACCATATGAGTTCAATAAAGCAGATACACTCTCCATTTTATAGATGTAAAAACTGAGGTTCATAAAGGCCAAGCAATGTGCCGTGGATTAAAACCCATTTGTTTGAACTCCACGGGACTTGCATTTCTCTGTGGGGTGCCCGCAAAGTGCTTTTTCTCATCTCTCCTATGGCTCTTAGCTTTTCCGCCTTATTAGTGTACGTGTCTTATGTCCCCAACCAGGGTGTGAGCTCTTTGAGGGAAAGATGTGTACCTGATCCATCTTGGTTCCCTTGGTGCCCTGCCCATAGTAGGGCCTCAATAAATATTTGTGAGGGAGGAAATAGAGGAAGGATCTGGACAGGCCTGCACGGGAGAGACATTGGCAACAGAGCCCCTGGCGTCGAGCTGACACTGTCCCTTCTCCTGACAGTCCCTTCACCCTCCAAAGCCAGCCTCCCGCCAGTGCTGTGCTAGACAGTTGCCCGGCCTACGGCAGGGCCACCTGTCTCCCTCTCTAACCCCTTCTTCCTTCTCCAGCCCTGTTCTCTGGGTGGCCTCTGGCCCCTACGGTCACTCAGTGGCCACTCCCCTCTGCACACACTGCAGCCCGCCCTGCCTTGGGGCCCGCTCACCAGCCCCGCCAGCCACCAACACAATTCTCTCAACAGCATTCAAAAGACCCAATCGCTGCCCCCACCCGCTTGCCTGGGATCAGAGGGCACCCTGACTCTTGAACTCAGCCAGGACCCCGAGGTGATG